AGAGAGAGACAGAGACAGACAGACAGACAGAGTCCTGGTGTGGCACTGTCGGATGAACACTGGACTTAAAGGTTGGTTTGAACCACAAGGTCAGCGGTTCACTCACCAGATGCTCCCCGGAAACCCTATATAATGTTGCTGAACCCTATACAATGGCACTTAACAGCAACACACACATATATGTACATGTATATAGGTGTGTGTGTGTGTATACACACACACACGTTGTTAAGCGCCGTTGAGTCGGTTACAACTCATAGCGACACTGTATAGGGTTTCTGAGGAGTGGCTGGTGGTTTTGAACTGCCGACCTTGAGGTTCAAACCAACTTTTTTCAGTCTAATGCTTTATCCTACAGCTCCACACCAGGACAGTCTCTCTCTATATATATACAAGTCTATATACAACTCTCTATATATATACAAGTCTATATATGCTATTGTTGTGAAGTGCCGTCGAGTTGGTTCCAACCCATAGCGACCCTGTATAGGGTTTCCGAGGAGCAGCTGGTGAGCTTGATCAATATATATATATATGTATGAAAGTATGGAGTCCTGGTGTGGTGCTGTTGGATAAGCAATGAAACTAAAAGGTCAATTCAGACCACAAGGTCAGTGGTTCAAACTCATCAGCCTTTCCTTGGAAACCCTATACAGGGTCACAGAGTCAGAACCTACTGACACACTTAACAACTGATATATATCTACAAGTAAACTTCAAAAAATTCATAAACAAGTGGAATGAAAAGATAATGGAAATGTTCCCACAAACTTTTCAAAGCCCCCTTGTATACATGTGTGTACTTAAGTAAATAAAAACGTACTGCTGTGATGTTTCCAATTCATACATGCACAAGCTTATTCCAAACAAAATGTATTTAAACATTTCTGGGTCATCAGTAGATGGCTGCAGACAAGTTCTATCAACAAGACACTTGTCTTAGTCTTGCTAGGATTTTTTTTTTTTTTCACTCAAAACAGTGACTTCCAAGGGGATCTGCTGGGTTATTTAAATTCAAGGGAGAGAGGTCAACTCAAAAGATTATGACAACTGGTTTTTGGGACTCCAAAGAGGTCATCTTGATAGATTTTGTCAAAGGACACAGGACAATTGGGGGATTAGGAAGAGGTTTTAAGAAAACTTAAAATTGCATTGATGAGAAAAAGACCATGAAAGCTGAGCTGAGGATTCCCCACCCCTCACCCCCATCAGCACAATGCACCTGATAATTCTTTTAGGGTAGCAAGGGCTGTCCTATAAAATTTCATTACTCCATCCACCCTACAGCCCTGATCTTGTCCTTTTAGACTTATTTTTGTTCCCCAGTCTCAAAGAACACTGGAAAGAAATACAATTTGAGTCCATGGAGGATACCAAAACTACCGTTTTGACACAGCATAAATCAAAGAGCATAGAATTATTTTGGGGAAAGACTGTTGTGGTTAAATGCTGTCAAGTCAGTTCCAACTCCTAGGATAGGGTTCCAAGGAGTGGGTGGTGGATTTGGACTTCGGATCTTTAGTTAACAGACTAGTGTTTATCCTACAATACCAAACCAGAACTCCTGAAAACACTATCTTCCGAAGTACATAGACCTTGATGGAGGCTATGTAAAGAAACAACAGCTGCACATTGTGATATTTTCATTTACTAAAGGTTTCTATGATTTTATTATTCCCACCTGACTGTCATATGGTGGTGGCTTGTATGTTGCTATGATGCTGGAAGCTATACCACCAATGACTCCAGGAGGGTCATCCATGGGAGACAGGTTTCAGCTGAACAGCTATACTAAGACAGACTGTGGCTGTTGTTGGTGGCATGCTGTTAAGTCTGTTGACTCATAGCAACCCTGTACAGGGTTTCCAAGGCTGTATATTTTTACAGAAGCAGCAAGTCTCATCTTTCTCCTGAAGAGCAACTGATGGATTAAAACTACTGCTCCTGTAGTTCATAACCCAATGCATAATCCATTAGGAAGAAGGAATAGCCTGTCTAAGCCATGGTATTTCTAATCACTTCTTATGCATGTGAAAGCTGGACTATGAATAAGGAAGACCAGAGAAAAATGGATGCATTTGAATTATGCTGTTAATAAAAAATATTGAAAGTACCATGGTCTGCCAAAAGAACAAATAAATCTATCTGGTGAAAAATAAATCTAGAATGCCCCTTAGAAGTGAAGATAATGAGACTCATCTAATGTACTTTGGACATGGTATCAAAAGAGACCAGTCTCTAGAGAAGGACACCCTGCTTGGTGAAGTAGAGGGCCAGTGAAAAAGAGAAAACCCCTCAATGAGATGGATTGACACAGTGTCTGGTACAATGGGTTGAAACAGAGGTAACTGGAAAGATGGTGAAGGACCAGGCAGTGTTTTATTCTGTTGTGTGTGGTGCTGGGAGTTTTGTGCCGTGGACTCAATTCCAACTCATAGAGACCCTGCATAGGGTTTCCGAGGCTGTACATCTTTATAGGAGCAGAAAGCCTCATCTTTCTCCCATGGAATGTCTGCTAGTTTCCAACTGCTGACCTTGAGGTTCGCAGCCTGATTCGTAACCACTATGCTACAGGAGTCAGTATGTGTCATAGCCACCTGGACGACACCTAACAACAACAACGATTTTATAACAATACATTTTTACTTACCCTTGTGTGTGTGTGTGTGTGCATACAGAATCAGAATATAGATTCCCCAGTTGATTCTTATAGATTCTGGGATCTTGCTAAAGTGTAGATTATGAATCAGTGTTTCTGGGGTGGAAATGCAGATTCTCAGCAGGGGTGGGACCAGAATGAACCAGCTGGAAGTTCTGTCTTAAGTTTATTCTTTTCTATCAATATTTTCTTTTATAGATACAACCCAAACAACTGTCTGGAGGCCAAAATCCAGTTTCATATGTGTATTTGGATGTTGTATCAAAGCATTTTTCAAAAGCGAAAAAAGTTCCAATAACCCATGACAATGGATTTCTCTTCCTTCAAACAGACAAACCGGTTTATACTCCAGACCAATCAGGTAGAGTTATAAAAACTACTGCTTTCTCCATGGGGAGGGGGGTGGTGGGGGGAGCACTATGTTGTATACATTTTTAACACCTGAAATTAAGTAGACACAGTTTATAGCTTGCTCAAAAGAATCTCAATTCTAAATTACTCATAGAAACCCTGTGTAGGGTTTCCAAGGAGCAGCCTTGTGGGTTTGAACCATCAACCTTACAGTTAGCAGTCCAGTGCTTACCCTACAACTCCATATGAAAATTGATATATAAATTGCAAATTTAACAATGATCAGTCCCGTGAATTATTTCTAAGCAGAAAAAATATTTTATAATGATAATGTGTATGTCTTATATGTTAGACAAATATAAGACTTAATTTGCAAAAACAATTTCAGCAATGGGAAAATAGTTTACTATGGAGCTATTTATTTCTTTCAGTTTGTTGATTTTTTAGCTAATCTCCAAATCTGGAAAATAAATCCAATTCTAGTAGTCCAAAAATAGATTTTAGCAAAGAATAAGCTAGGTCATAGAATTATATAGATATTAATTTTCTAAGGGGATTCATCTAAGAAAGGGTCTATTGAATCAATGTTCCATGGTCATGGTTCTCATGTTAGAGGGGGAAGGGGAAAATATAGTCAATGAAAACCCAATGATAGAAGAATGGCTAGAATTATTCCCAATGCAACAAAAGTAAAATACAGAAAAGTGTGAATGCTGCCAAATACATTCATGTATTTGCAAAACCTTCATCCCCCACCCCATTTCTCCCTATTACCACCATAATTACCTTTTGAGCATGTGGTAGGAGGGAGGAATGTGACAAGTGGCATTTTGGAGAGGTTCTAAAATTTCAGTCTATATATTCCCACTGAAGAGCAAAGGGAGGAAGGAAGAACCAGCTAGCTTTAAATATAGCAGATTCTAGCTAAATGTTTGGCTCCTGGTGTGGTGCTGTAGGATCAGTACTGGGCTATGGACCACAAGCTTAGCAGTTCAAACCTACTAGCTACTACTTGGAAACCTTATATAGGGTAGCTATGAGTTGGAACTGACTCAACGGCACTTAGCAACAACAATAACAGCTAACTCTTGGCTGATGTAGTTGATAACAAGTGGGATGGAATGGGGCTGCACCACTATCATTTCACCAGAAGTACCTGTTACAATCAGCTCAGGAAAGCCAGAGAAGGCAGTGGTTGCTATTGCTATCAGTGTGGACAGAATGTCATTGCCAGCATTGTCCTATCTCCTGAATTCCAAGAAGATGACTTGGTATACAAGGAAACCGTGTTTGTGTATGTGAACATAAGCATAACTAGCAATAAGTGAATCTTCATTCTTTCCTCCCTCCTATTTTGTAGGATGCTTCATTAGTTGGATCATGACTCTACCTCTGTCGACATTAGGGCCCTCTGTCTTTATCTAATAAGGAGTCTTATACGTAGGGCCTTTCTTAATCAGGGAAGTAGAAAAAAAAATGGGAACTTTTCTCTAAACATTGACTCCTTGATAAGAGCTAGAAGGAGCTCTGGTAGCATAGTGGATTCTGCTTCGAGCTGCTAACTGTAAGGTTACTCCATGGGAGAAAGATGAGGTTTTCTGCTCCAGTAAAGATTTATAGCCTCAGAAACACTATACAGGGACACTATGAATTGGAACTGACTCAACAGCACACAACCACCAATCACCACCACCAGTAGGAACTATACATTAAATAAATGACCCTGGATGAATTACTCAGCCTCTCTGTGCCCCCACTTTCTTCATCTGTAAAATGGAAATAATAATAGATCTTACTTCATAGGTTTGTTGTTAGAATTAAATAAATTCAAACATGGGAAACACTTAAACAGTGCTTAACACATATTAAGAACTAGGAGAGTGTTTCCCATTAATCTATGGGAGGAACACAAAGTCTTATTTACACAAAAGAAAAAGAATTGCTTGTAAGTAAATCAGCAATGATTTCCCTTGTTCCACGTCTTCTTCTGAATCTGATTTGCGTTTCTGATGGTTCACTGCCCATCTACTGCTGAAACAGATTTTGAATTATCTTTGGTAGAATTTTCTTCCATGTGATATTAGTTCTATTGGGTCGCCTTTCTTTGGAATGGGCACAAATATGGATCTCTTCTAATGGGTTTGACAGGTAGCTCTCTTCCAAGTTTCTTGGCAGAGATGAGTTTACGTCTCCAGTGCTTCATCAGTTTGTTGAAATATTTCCATTTATATTCTGTTAATTCTCGGAGCCTTGATTTTCACCAGTGCCTTCAAGTGCAGTTTGGATTTCTTCCTTCAATACCACTGGATTTTGACCATATGATACCTCTTGAAATGGCTGAACATCTACCAATTCTTTTTGGTACAATGTCTCTGTGTATTCCTTCCGTCCTCTGTTGATACTGCCTACATCATTCTATATTTTGTCCATTGAAGCTAATTCCAGACAAGTTCTAAGTCTTGTTGTTGTTGTTGCTAAGTGCCGTCGAGCTGGTTCCTATAATAGCGTTCCTGTATAGTGCTTCTGAACAGCGACTGATGACTTTGAACTGTCAACTTCACAGCTCAAACCGACCTTGCATCCCAGTGCTTATCCTACAGCACCACACCAGGACTCCATTGCTATTGTTGTCAGTTCCAACCCGTAGTGATCCTTTACAAGGTTTCCAAGGAGCAGCTGGTGGGTTTGAACCACTGACCTTGCAGTTCAAACAGACCTTGCATTAACCCACAGTACTCCTAGGACTCCATTGTTGTTGTTACTGTTAAGCACTGTTGAGTCAGTTCCAACCGATAGCGACCCTGTAGTATAGGGTTTCTGAGGAGCAGCTGGTGAGTTTGAACCGCTGATCTTGCAGTTCAAACGGCTTTGCAGTCTGGTGCA